TGAATTTTGAAACTTGCCATATTTTTTTTTCACTTTCTCTTTGAAGAAAACCCAAGAACTAATAAATCGTGCAATATACCTTCAAACGGCTGAATATCGACCTCAGTAATAACCCAAATACCGGCTTTCAATTTATAAACCAAAGTCTCGGGCACAGAAGGATCACTCTGCCCTTTGCTCGACCAGTACGAAGCTGTTCTTATGTACCTGTCCCTCGGATTCAGAGTGTTCAGTATGCTCTCGTCTGGCATTCGGTCAGTGCTCGACGCGCTAACTGCAGTCTCTATGCAGTCTCTCGGGGGAACTTTTGCTTTCGTAATCGTCCGATGAAGGGACGCATAAATCTTGTGCTGCCTCTCGAGAAAGTCTAGTCCAGGAGCACTTCTGGCTTCTGAAGTGAGCAAATTCATCTTTCCTTGGTTCACTTCTGTTATCTTCACTACCTCAGAAAGTTGGGGGAAGGCCCTTATGCAGAGATGTTTAGCAAGTCCATTTGAAATCACTGAAAAAATGAGAAGGTAAAAACTAGAGTTAGCACCACCCATATTCCCCCCTTTTTTTTCAGTCTGTTGGGGTTTTTTTCTTGGGTTCATAACTCTTATAGTTTTCGTGGGGGGTTATTCATTCAGATTAATTTTTATTTTTTTCTACTTTTTATTCGGTCACGAGTTTAGAGTTAACGTTTTAGTTATTTTATCTTTATCCACAGTCTTCTGGTTTTCTGTACTTCTCTGAACCTTTTTTTTTTCTTTTTCAGGATTTTGCTTTAGAAAGACCGTTAGACAAAAAGTGTGCCTTGTAAGAAGCTGGCATCATAATCCAAGAAATTAATGTCATTTATATAAAAAATTCATCCAAAATCTCAAAATGAAAAATAATAACAGTAGCTCTAATAGACAAGTTCTTCCATTAACAGTTGGAATAGTGTTACTTTAAATACCAACTTCATTACGTCTGCAAAAATGTCTTCAAGGTTTATTTTCTGACCTATGCTGGCTTTTGTAATGCATTTTAATCATATAATGTGCTACTTCACGATTCTGAAGAGTACAAGATTGCAACACCCTTAAAATATACACGCAATTAACTAAGGATATTGACATATGAGAAGACAGCAATGCCAGTAGAACATCATTAAGGAATTACAACACTAACCGAACGGAGAATCTGAAAAACCAAACAATGCTTCCAAAAGGCAAAAAGATAAGCTAACAGTAGCGGCATAATGATATAACCATCAAGAAAACTTACATTTGCATTAAATAACTCGACAATCATATTTTATCATCTCAACTTCACTTAATCGGAGTCTAAACATGTAAGTCAGTATTACTATTAGTACCAAACATGTAATGTGCCACTTTACGATTCTGAGAAGTACTAGATTACCAATACCTCAAAAATGTACATGCAATCAACTAAGAATATTGACATATAAGAAGATAGCAATGCCAGTAGAACATCATTTACGAATTACAACAATAAACCAAACCAAGAATCTGAATAAACAATGTTTCCAAAAGGCAAAAGGAGAAGCTAATAGTAGCGGCCTAATGATATAACCATAATGAAAACTTACATTTTGCATTAAATAACTCTACAGTCATATTTCATCATCTCAACTTCACAATTAAACCAAAAAGTCCCATAATTAACCATGGCATTCTAAAGTACCACTGCAAATGAAAGAGTCAGGACATAATAAGACGATTACATAAATGGCAGGTAAAAAAAATTAAACTAGCATCACATTTACCAAATTGGCGCCAATTGCGCGAGACAGCACTTGCACGAACTACATCAGCCGGGTCATCCAAGAAACTCATGATATGAACAGATACATCAGTCTCGAGGAATTGCAAGAAATCAATCCTGATGGCATCTTCTTCATTATCCATAGCTTATTTGCCTCCAATCTTATAAAGATTAATCGATATCTCAATCTTAGAGCATAGGTTAATCGACTATCATAACATTCGCTGGAACTGAAAACAGAAAAATGAGCATAAATTTTTCCCCTTGAAACCCATTAAGCAGCCTAATGCTTGTGCCCTAAATCACAGCTGAAAAATTGATACTTTAAAAAAAAGAAAAAAAAAATCAACTACACTAACCAACACAATATAGCTACACTGCTTCATTTTCACTATTTCTTATTTCCTAACAAAACCCATGAAGGACCCATTTTTTTTCAATTAAAAAAGATGAAAATTTATCCAAACAAAGACCTGTTTTAACATCCCTTCAGATTTCCGCGAAAAGGGCATGAAATGAACAATGAAGAAGACAATCAAACACCAGGAAAAAACATGAACGAAGAACAAAAATCTACCGAACGACATCAATCAAATCAGTAATTGGGGGAAAAAAATAACAATATGACCAAATAATAATTCTTGAATTAATTAACTGAAAAAAAGCAGGTAAAACAATCGTACCTAGGAGAAATGCTGCGATGGAAGAGAGAGAGAGAGAGAGAGAGAGAGGGGGGAATAGAGACTGGGATGCTCTTCGGCTTGAAAAAAAAAAAATATTCCTAATAAAACACTCAACTGACGAGCCTTATCTCTACATTTTACTCCACGTCAAAAATATATTATTTATTTATTTATTTTTATTTAAAATAAATTAAAATATATATATATATATATATTTAATCTTATATAAATATTTATTGCTTTAATGAAATTACGTTTGTGTATTTTATAATTTACGTTTGTATATTTAATATTATGTTGTTTTTATTTGTGTATTTAATTATTGACATTTGTTGTAAAATTTTAATTCTAATGAAATCTACTTGTTGGAATGTGTTAAGTTTTTATTCATATGGTACCATTTTAATATTAAAATACTACAAAATAAATTATAATACACCAATAAATAAAAAAGTACAAAGTTATTTAACATAAAAAAATACATTGCACAAAATTATTTAACATAAAAATATATTTATTAATACACCTAATACAGAAAGTTACCATTAACATTACATAAAAAAAAAAAAAAAAAAAAAAAAAAAAAAAAAAAAAAAAAAAAAAAAACGAAAATAAAAATAAAAATAAAAAAAAATTATTCTGGCGTTATGCTACAGTGCTAAACTAGATATGGCGTCTAGGGGTAAATTATAGCGCAACCTTAGAGGAAATTTCTCACGCTACTCCATCGTCATGCACTAATGTAGAGTAGTATTGGAGCTGGTCTAATAACTGTGTTTTTCTAACTTTCTTTGAAATTATTTATGTGTTTTCTGCCTTTTTCTTTTGAGGTAAAATTGAAAAGGCAAAAAACCGAGTATAATTAGGGATGGCAATGGGTCCCCGAAACCCAAAACCCGATGGGTAAAAACTCCATTAGGAGCCGGATATGGCTAAAATTTAGCCCCATGGATCTGTTAATGGGGGAAAAAGTCCCCCCATGGGGTCTAGCGGGGATGGGTCCATTCCCCCTCCCCCCATACCCGTTAACCCATGGGTATAATGTACCCGATATAATTTGACCCAATATATGTTTTGGCTCAGCCCAAAAGACTTAGTAGGCAGCAACACTACTAATCCCTAGATATATAACTAATAAGAGGCAATCTCAATTCTCATCCTCTTGCTCTCCCAGTCCCACTCCCCCGCCCACCACACACACTCGCAGACTCCACTCCAGGCCGACAACTCCTGCGTGTGACCGGCGGCTCCACCGCTCCACCAAGATGGCTGGTTCCGCTTCCGCGGCCGCGCCGGCGCCGGCGCGAGTGAAATTGGGTCTGTGTCACCCGATGGGTACCCGTCACCCACACGGGTGCCGAGTCTGGGGGAAATCTGAACCCGAGATGGGTGATGGGGGCGGGTGACGGGGGTATTTTCCCTAATGCGGACGGGTGACGGGGGGTCCCCCAGCGGGTTTGTCACCCATTGCCATCCCTAAGTATAATGTTTCAATAAATTGCATGTTTTATATTTATAGTTTTTTAAAATTATATAAATAATAATATAATATTTAAGTTTGATATTTTTTTTTATCGAAAAATACATAAATAAAAAGTGGTACCCCCACAGGCTCCAGGGGCCCATAAACAAACAAACCATTAAACCATACTAAAGTGTTACATCATATGGGCCCATAAAATAAATCAGCCCATCACAGAATCTCTCTTCCTTATGCAGGAAGCCCATTATAAAGATCATCTTTAATGCTGGTATGTAAATAGAATGTCTCATAATTTTTTTATAAATATAAATTGGATTAGATATTTTGATTGTGTTGACTTCTTGAAACTATAATGTGTATTTTATTACCCACCACATCTCACATATCCATTCAAATGTTACAATAAGCTCATGACATCATTATTTCTTCACATATATAGAATCTTTGTCACTTTATAATATTACAAAACACATATATCCAATTGTAGATTACACATATATATTATATAGATAACTTGTTATATTTTAATTATTTAAATTTTGGTATAGTATTTTTGTATTCCTTAAAAATTCGTCCACTTGTGGCCCATGAGGGTCTGCTGACTCGGATCCACATGTAAGAACTCTATTTGTAATATACCTTCTATTCTTTTATTATTGTCCAAATTATAAGCCCCTTATAACTTCATGAGACAAGATTATACAAAATAATTCTTATAACTTTACACGTCAGTTTTTCGTCTCTCGTTTACTTTGTGTGACAGAGTTGTGTGAAAATAATCTATTGTTTACTTTGTAGGATTAAGTGATAGGGTAAGTCTTGTAATGACATCTTTACCCCTGGGAGCCTATTGAAACGGTGCAGATTGAGACGGACTTCATTTTACCTTCATTCTCAGATCTGATTTCTCCCTTCTTTCTTACCTTCGTTTTTTTCGAACCCTAAATTAACTATACATAGTGTAAATTACGAAACTTAATATCATTATACAAAGTGTCTATATCAAATTTTCACTTTTAGTTGCTTTGCATTTTTTTCTAATCTCCAATTAAAATGGTGATTAAGCCAAATTAGCAGTTGCTTTTGTTTGTTATTAAGCACTTAATTTAATGGTGATTAATGCACAAGTGAAAGGGATAGAATAGCACTTTTTATTCAATGCTTTAGTGGAACAAACTTACAAATTACAATGGCCATCAAATTTTATAAATGTGGATAAGAAATATGATTATTTTGTAATATATTTAATCATTATTGGATTATGTAATTTCATGAGATGTTCAAGGTGAAACTTAGGTATATGTTTACAATGAACATCTAAATTTATGATGAAATTACAACTTTGAAAATTCTAGCTAGAGTTGTCAGACAAATCGAGTTGCCCGTGAGCTCGACTTGACTTGTTGAGGCTCGATTTCGAGCTCGTTTTAACGAGTCGAGTCACTTGATAAGGTTCAAAAAGATAATTTTGTATATAGTTTTCTAGTTCATCTCGTTGAGCACGACTCGCGAATACTGATAACTAGGGCTCGATTACTAGTTCGAGTTCAACTCGTTTACACCTCTAATTCTAATTTTAGTCACCATTACATGTGTCGACGTGACCATAAAAGCTCGGGCTCGAGACTTCATATGTTATGCTAATTAAATGAACGAAATTATAAATAAACTCGAGCCTTAATTAGTTGAACTAATGTAAAAATTAAAAAATAACTAAAACTCTATCATCGAGACTTACCAAACTCGACTCGTTTTTTAAGTGAATAATAAATTAACTCAAGTTCGAACCTCGACAAGCCCAAGTCGAGCCAATTATTCGAACATTCCGTATCATTTAACATATATATCCAATTATATAAACTTAATTTTCAATAAAATTAAGTTAGTGCACACGTTTGTGACCAAAGAAAAAAAAAATGTTAGTGCACAAATCATCAAATCAAAAAAATTGCTCAACCAAATTGGCACATTTTTTTTTTTTTTTTTTTTTTTTTCCATTTGCTAGTTGCTACAATAAAACGGGAATTTCATATCTGATTAACTTTATAGTAACAAGACGACTACGACGACGACAACAACAACAACAACAACAATAATGATAATTAAAAACACATGAACCAATTTAGGTTGGCCAAGTTCACTACAAGAAAATGATGAAATTTCAACGGAAATCTATTCCATAAGAATTGTTCCAACGAATATTTCAAAATTATTATTTCTGTTGGAGTTTTTCAATGGACTCGCACAGAAATTTCAATAAAAATATTTCGTTGAAATGAGTTTTTCATTGAAATTACCATTGAATTTTGACGATTTCAACGGTGAATTTCCAACGGGGGTGAAAATAAACGGAATTTGCATATTCCACCAGTAAAAAGTCGTTGGAAATATAGTTGTTAAAATCATCAAATTCCATCTAAAATTTCAATGAAAAAAACACATTCCAACGAAATATTTCCGTTGGAATTTATGTTGAAATCATTCCAACATAATTTATATATCATTGAAATGTCCGTTGAAATTTTTATTGGAATATATTAACGTAAGATTTTCCGTTAGAACAATTATTTTGCAGTAGTTATTGTCAATATTTGTCCCCTGATAATCAAGCACATTGGGTGATTAGTCGAGGCCCCACACCACCTCGAACTGGATAAGAACCTTCCACTTTCCATGTCAGATGTGCTTGTGTAATCCTCTACGGTACCAATTTATGCGAGTCCATCCAATCTATTTATCAATTATGCCCCACTTTATGTATTTTGGTGCCTTCTTTCCACAGAATAATAATAATAAAATAACAAAATCATAAAAATTAATAACAAGTCAATATGTGTATTATTTTTGTTTTTTATTTTTTCCATATTGAAGACGTTTGTTTGAATTTTTGCAGTAATTAATTCAAAATAATAAAAAGAGGTATAGTAATTTTTTATTTTTTATTTTTTTGCTCAAATAGATTGATGCAAGCAATACAAAAATATTTCGAGCTTAAACAATTTAATATATATATATATATTTTAAAAAAAAAATTAATAATTTTTTTGTTGTTATATTTTTTCGCACATAATATAACTAGTTATAAATATTTTAATAAAACTAAATAAATTATTAATCAATTATAACAGAATATAATAAAAATTATTATTCATCAATTAAATAAATTTATCTACCAATATGGGATCAAAATTTATTATAACAAGAATGAGCAAGTCTCATTGGTCACATATAAATTTAAGATAAGAGTAATGCAATATTTGTGCATATTTTAATGTATCATAAAATTAAAATAAAACATTTTATACTTACCTTGAAATTTTTGATATATTAATTAGGTTACTGTTAGGCAATTTACGATCAGACGACAATATTTTTACAGTTTATTCATATATTTTTAAATTAAAATTTCACGCTCTAAAAGTTAATATGAAATTTAGCAGTGGTTTTTATTAAAATAAAAATATTGTTTATTCGCCTAGTAGTATTTCTAGTTTTTTTTATAAAACTAGATGGTTGGTTTCTTTATGGAACCAACTACCAATAAGACAACTCTACGTGGGACTGTAAACTACAGCTTCACGTGGAGTTGTCTTATTGGTGGTTGGTTCAATAAAGACAGCCCCACGTGAAGTTGTCCCAGTGGTGGTTGGTTCCATAAGGAAACCAATCATATATTCCTTAGCAAAATTGGCATTATTCCACGTCATGTTAGAATTTATGTTTATGAAACAAATAAGATATTTTCTAGGTAATATGTTGCTCAATTTCCACACAAATAAATATAAAAGGAGGAAAAAAAAAAAATAAAAAAATTGCACACCACATTTGACACACTGCTGGACAATTCCGAAGCTTCAATATATATCTTCTCTCTCACACTATTAATTTGATCAGAGATTCTATCATCATAAATCACTCGGTTTATAATCATTAGATTAACTATATACGACTACAAATCTCGACAGCCGACGAAATGAAGTTTGTAATCGTTATATTAACTATGCACGACAATTACATGATAATCTAACGGTTACAAATCTCTACGGAATTATTCCGTATACCGTAGCATTTCCCTAATTTTATTTCCCTTAAAAAAGTCTAAAACCCACATTAACTATATATATATAAACCTTCACTTTCAAACCGACGACTCCCTCTCTTCTTCTCCATTTTTTTCCACCATCTGAAAAATTCTTTTCCGGCCACCAGAAAAATGGGTGCCACCACTTCTTCTCTGTCGGGCGAGCTCGGCGGCCCGAACCCGAGGCCCAAGCTGGAGGACATACCCGAGTCCTGCATCGCCCTGGTCCTCTCCGGCTTGGACCCACCGGAGATCGCCAAACTGGCCCGGCTCAATCGGGCTTTCCGGGCCGCGTCGTCGTCGGATTTCATATGGATTCCCAAATTTCCCTCCAATTACCGGTATATCCTCTCCAGATCTGGCGATCGGAGCATCGGGGACAAGGGCATGAAGGACATCTATGCCGCGCTTTGTAAACCTAATCCTTTCGATGGCGGTACAAAGGTGAGAGATTTTTTTTTTTCTATTTTTTTTATTGGGTTTTGTTTTGATTGATTTGAATTGATTTTGTGCTACTCTTTTGGGTTTTGATTGAACAGGAGGTTTGGATAGACAAGCGTACGGGAGGGGTTTGTTTGGCAATATCTTCGAAGGCTATGTCGATAACCGGAATCGATGATCGGCGGTATTGGAGTTACATTCCGACTGATGAATCTAGGTGGGATTTAGTGTTCTTGTGTTTGTGATCTGCAATAATTTGGTTAACTATTTTTTTTCTTCAGAGCTAAAAGATGAGTTTATTATTGGCTAACTAAATTATCTGTTTATTAAATAAAAGGAATTACTTTTTAAATTTACGAATTTAGTGAGGTTTGGGGAGAAATGGGGGGGAAAAGAATGATAGAAGAAGATATGTTGTTCAAACTTAGGCCATCTCCACTTTCCAGCCCTCATTCTACTCTTAAGTTTTCCGAGTGAAACAAAAATCAAGTTTCGTCTTCAAATAAGTCCGTGCTACATTTTATTCCACAAAATATTTTTTTTTTTTTATTCTCATTATTTTAAATTATTTTAATATCACAAATGTGATTTACTTATATATATTGTTTTATACATATTTGATAATTTAAATTATTACATTATATAATTAACAAAATAAAAATAGTACAAAAATATTTATATAAAGATTATATTATTTACTAAAATATGTATCAAGTATTTACTAAAATATTACGAACTTACTAAAATATTAACTAAGATTTAAGAGAAATTTCAATTTATAATGTAAGTCGTTGAAAATAAATTCATTGGGTTAATTCTTGTCCCTCCAATAATTTACCACATATTTTTTTCTATATAAATAAATTTGTTAAGTGAAGATTTGTATTATGTTGAATAGATTTTGTGATAAATTTTTATTTAGATAGTACTGTGTTAATATTAAAAAATTTGTAAAATAAAATTATAATACATCAATATATAATAAAAGGCAGTGAGGGTGCCAATGAGAAGAAAAAAAAAAAATCTGTGACCCGTCCTGAAAACAAGGGAAATTGAGGTGCCAATTGCCATGAAAATGAAGTGTTTTAGAATGATGATGTCTTTTACAACAAATAGATTCATTGGCGCAATTGTTTCTCGAGCTGATATTGTAATTTTCCGAAATTACTCGTGTATTCACTGATAATTCTGAATTTAACTCAATCATTTTGTATCTTGTATATAATTTTACAAAATACACTACATTTTGTCTACATTTTGTTATGTATACTTTGTGATAATTCCAAATTTCACTTTAACAGTTAATAAGCCGTATGACCAACTTATTATCTATTTCCCTCCTTTCACCAACTTATTATTCATTTCCCCCTTGTTGGGTTATGTAGATTTCCGACAATAGCATACCTTCAACAAACCTGGTGGCTCGAAATAAACGGGGAGCTCGATTTCCAATTCCCCATAGGCACTTATAGCCTATTCTTCAGGCTCAGTCTCGGTAAAATCGGCAAGAGATTGGGCCGTCGGGTTTGTAATTTCGATAATGTCCACGGCTGGGAGATCAAGCCGGCCCATTTTCAGCTGACTACTCAGGACGGCCAAAGTGCGGTGGCTCGTTGCACCTTGGACAATTTGGGAAATTGGGTAAATTACCATGTGGGTGAGTTTGTCGTGCGGGATTCGGATGTGTTAACCACGGTCAAATTCTCTTTAACTCAAATTGACTGTACCCACACGAAAGGCGGTCTTTGCGTGGACTCGGTTTTTATTTGTCTGAGTGGTTTAGGGAAAGGGTTGACTTGTTTGGATGGTGAAGGATGTAAGAAGTTTTAGAGATGGGTGAATCATACTTTTATGAAGATTGAAGCATATGTTGTATTTTGAAGGGTGAAGTGTGGTTTTTTTAGCATGAGAAATTAAGAGGCAATATTGTTGTACATTTGTTTTTTGGCCTCTTTCTTTTCTTTTGTTTTTCACCCATTTTTTCCTCAGTTTTGTGTGTGATTGGGGTATGTAGAGATTTTTGCCTTTTGATGTATACTTATTATTCATTTGTACATAGTTTGAACTTTGAAGAATTGAGTGCTGTTTTTTGGGGGTGATGAGTTGATGTTATCTATAGTGGTTTTTCACTTACCTTTGCATGACTCGAACTACAGACATATTGGTCCCAAGTGATGTGAAGAGTTGATGAAAGTTATAGATTATTATTGTGTACTATTATCTAAAAACTGCACTTGAACCTGAATAAGCTGAGTTGTTGGACAAACTTCATATGGGATGAAAACGTCATATTGGCTCTGTCAAATAAATCCAGCTCGAGCTCGTTAAGATTTGACAAGGCTCTAGATTGTGAGCTTTCACGCAATTTTATGGAAGTTTTACTTTAGTTCGGCTTGTTAATACTTAATATTGATAAACGAGTCGAATTCGAGCTTATTGTAGTCTCGTTTAGTTAACAACTTCAATTCAGCGCGGCTTGATAAAGACTTGATGACTCGATTACAGTTCAGATTCTATTATTTAATATAATAGAAATGCAATTTGCTTTGTCATTCAATAGCCATTAAATTTCAACATAATATCTTTAGTATTTTACTATTTTTAGAAGATCAACATACTATTCATAATATTTTTTTCTTAAAAATTTATTATCTGTAATCACTATCTATAGCTTTATTGTTTATTTTATTAATTTGTTATTGAATAATTACACTTCTCAGTTCACACAGTTGATTGTACTCCTGATTTTCCATTTATCAAACCAATGGCCCAGAATTGGTCAATAACGGTGAACCCAGTAATATGATGAGAAATTGGATTTATTATAGGCCCAAAGTTTAGCCCATAAACCGCTATTAGTATCCGAAGCCCATTTCGACTCCCTCTCCGTCCCCACCGGCCTTTATGCACTTGACACAGTTCACTCTTTGGACGATAAACTAGACGAAGAAAAACCAGCAAAAAAGCCCTAGATTACGACTCAGTTTGACCCGAATCCGCGCTCCGATATGGAACCCGAAGACGCTGCCGACGGAGCCACCATCGAGGAGGACGAGATCTACGCGAACGGCGGCGCCGGCGAGCCGCAGCGGCATCGCCCGATCATCAGCGGCGAGCAGCTCGATGTCGAGGCGTACGCTGCGCTGTACGCCGGCCGGACGAAGATCAGCCGCCTCCTATTCATCGCCGAGAAGTGCGGCGTCGCGTCCATGGAGCTGGAGGCCCTGCGGTTGGCGTACGACGAGATTAAGAAGGGGGAGAACACGCAGCTGTTCAGGGAGGTCGTGACGAGGATTGGCGGGAGGCTGGGCCCGAATTACGGCCCAGATAACGCCTGGGCCGATGCTATGGACCGGAGGGCTGAGCTGAGGAAGGAGAAGCTCGAGAACGAGCTGAATGCTTACAGGGTAGAGTGATTCAAATGCATAAATATAGAAGCACACTGGATAAATTTTGTTATCAGTTGGATTATTTATTGGTTTTGTTTATCTTCCGTGGAGCTTCTTTGTCTATCAGCTATCTTAGTTTTAGCTTCTTACGAGATGGAGCATGTGTTTTATGAGTTTTATTGGTGATCTCTATGTATATGACTGTGTTGGGTTTAGGTAATTCAAAGTGGGTTGTCTTAGACTTGATGAAAGCTGCTTTTGAAGAAGGAGAAAATGGGTGTTTGATAGTGTTTCTGCTTTTTATGAGTTTGATCTAGGTTCAAGTTCAACAATGATGAAAGAGTTCGAATTACTCTCCCTGCTGAGCAGTCACTTGGATTTGTTTCTGGAAATAGAATTTAGAACTGATATTAAGTGTTTATTGTTGTTATTTTTTTTTTTTTTTGTTGGACTGTTTGGGGATTGGATTTCTGATTTCTCAATGTTGGGATAATATTGCTTATGGAAAACTGATGCCATATTATTATTATTATTATTATTATTATTATTATTATTATTATTATTATTATTATTATTATTATTATTATTATTATTATTTTCCGGTGAGTAGTGATGTTCTTTCATTGCATGTAAAGATTTAGCCGTCTTTGGGTGAGAGCTGACATAGTGAGTTAAAAACTCCTATACCCACTGTATCTTAAGAAATCATTGGGTTCTTTTGGGTGTTCTATGAAGTGATTTAGAAGATGTACAGTGAGATGTGATGTAAAGGAAAATGTAGAATGTGGTTTATGTTCCCTTTTAAAATACGAGGATAACTTGAGGTTGAGATTGAGAATGATCTAAAGAAAAAAAAGAATCCCATTAACTTTAAATCGTCTATTGATTTCTGTTCATCCCTCTTACTGATGCTTTGTTTTCTACAGACAAACTTGATCAAAGAAAGCATTCGAATGGGATACAATGATTTTGGAGAGTTCTACTATGTGCATGGTCAACTTGGTGAGGCATTCAAGAATTATGTCCGGACACGTGACTACTGCACCACGTCGAAGCATATTATTCAAATGTGCCTGAATGCAATCTTAGTTAGCATTGAGATGGGTCAGTTCACGCATGTTACGAGTTACGTTAGCAAGGCCGAGCAAAGTCAAGATGCTCTGGATCCTGTTACAGTTGCGAAACTGCGTTGTGCTGCTGGATTGGCTCATTTGGAAGGGAAGAAGTATAAGCTTGCTGCAAGAAAGGTTTGCATACTAATAGATTCCCTCGTATTTAGACAACTTTCTATGATGTAGTATACCATGAACAATAAGTGTTGTATGCCTTGGAATTTTTGGTATACCATCAGTTAGGAATTTGCTTGGGAAACTGATTGCTGTAGTGTGCTTTAAATTATGAGTTTGTTCGTTTTGTTGTGTTTGTCTTGCTATTATATGAGGTAGAACACAAATCTTTCACTGTAGATTATACGTTCTGAATAGAGAGATACATGCTGCTAATCATAGGTGACTCAAGTTTTATTTCTATTTAATCTGGGAGTGCTTGGCAAATATATGGGAATGGAAAAGGGTATTGTTTTAACTTTAGGAATGAATGATTTCCATTCTCCCCATGTTTGGAGGGTGTGGGTCATGGCCAAAACAATTAATAGTGATAGTTGGCTTAATCGCATCACCTAATATCATATTCATCCCCTGTAGTGTGTAGAAGTTGATAGTGCTTTAACAACTCGAAGAACTAGATTGAGAAAAAGTCTGGAAAAGGGCATGAGCTCTGAGTACTTTTACCATGACAAAGTGTGTGCTATACCGAATAGTAATCCTATGACCCATTTGTTTGCAACAAACTTCTTATTATGTTCTGGTGGAAAGGTTTCTTCATGTGATCATACATACACATTCTTTCCTACAGAATATGCTGCATTTGATTTGACCAATTGGTAATGTTTTTGTACAGGCCAAACACGTAGTTCGTTATTTTTTATTTTTGGTGGACATTTCCTTCACCTAATAAGTGAAGTGTTTAATGCATCTGTATTCAAGTAGATCAATTTTCGGCTTTGTCCTCACTCCTGACCGGAAAGAGCCTACTTCCAAACCCCATCTCAGAAATGACTAGCCACAATCTCAACATTCTTTGTACTTTCAAGCAGAACTAGATAAAATGGATTATATCCATAATGAAACTTGTCAAATCATTGTGCTTGTTGGTGAGTCATGGGTTTGTGCTTCTGTTCTATATATGTCTGTCTCAAGTTTCTTTCGGCACTTGCAGTTCCTGGAAACTGGCCCTGAACTGGGGAACAATTACAATACTGTAATCGCACCTCAAGATGTTGCAACCTATGGCAGTCTATGCGCACTTGCAAGCTTCGATCGTGCAGAACTGAAGGCAAATTTATTGTTTCACTGTTCTCATTAGGGGTGATTTGGATCTTATTGAAATTTTGCCTATTTTCTTACAACATGAACCTTCTTTTTTCCTCTGGCAGAGCAAAGTCATTGACAACATCACCTTCAGGAATTTTTTAGAATTGGTTCCTGAAATAAGGGAGTTGATCAATGATTTCCATACTAGGTACCTCTTTAATCTTTTTTTACTTGTCTTTTTTAACATATATCAATGGAGTAAAATATCAACATGATTTTTGAGTTCCTTGTTTGACATACAAAACCGTTTTTGTTTATACACAGCCACTATGCTTCCTGTCTGGAGTATCTCGGGAATCTCAAGGCAAATTTGTTACTCGATATCCATTTACACGACCACGTCGAGACTCTGTACGAGCAAATACGAAGCAAAGCCCTCATCCAATACACGCTCCCTTTTGTCTCTGTCGACCTCCGTATGATGGCAAATGCATTCAATACAAGTGTTACGGGCCTGGAGAAGGAGCTTGAAACTCTCATCACCAAAGACCAAATACAGGTTACCAATGCTTACCCCACTGTAGTATTTCGTGTCGAGTTTACAACTTTACAAAAACTTCTGCCGGGGAAAAACACAAATCCAGTTATCTTTCTTAATTTACAAATCTCTCCTTGAGGTTAAATGTATGAAGGAAATGTCAAGTGCATATTTTGTGATTCAGAAGATAATTGCCGGTTTTTGAATCGTGCAGGCTCGTATAGACTCTCATAACAAAATTCTATATGCTCGGCATGCGGATCAGAGGAACGGGACATTCCAGCGTGTTTTGCAGACTGGCAACGAATTTGATCAGGAAGTGAGGGCCATGCTTCTGAGGGCAAACCTCATAAAACATGACTTTAACCAGAAGGCATCATCCAGGAAGCACTAGATTTGTATAGTTACAAGAGATGGTATGAAGCGGAGTTCTATTTTGGTGCAGCCATGCAGGGTTTCGAGGAAAAGAAACAAAAAAAATAAAAAAAAAAAGAAGAAATTACAAGGTCTGAGAAAAGATACTTCATTTGAAGTTTTGAGCTTTGCTCTCAGATATTGGCCTTTGGGAGTAATATCTTTAGGTTTATTATGTTTAGAACCTTCTGTAGATTTTGTTTATTATGGATCTTTTCTGAATTTGGTTTCTCTTTATCTCCTTCCCGGCTCTCCTTTTATTTTTATTATGCATTCACTGGTGAAAATTTGATGTTCCTTGTTTATACACTCGAGCAAAAATTCGAACAGATGAAATTCGAAACGATCTCGTGGATTTGTATATTTTTTGTTGAGTCGATTCGAGCCTGAAAACGATCAAATCTAACTTGATATGGCTCGGCTCGACTTGACTCGCCTCGATTCATTTGCAATCCTAGGAGAAACGAAACGAACCAAGACAGATACATACACAAGTTGGGGCTGGGCAGTTTGTCGTAACAGCTAACTGAGTCATCAAGATGGGCCTTATTATTGAAACTCTGGGCTGGGCTAGTCATGTAACTGGATAATGAGTCCCTCCATAACATATGACCGCAAAAGGCAAATATTTATGTTTTCCCAATTGTGAACAAAAAGGTAATAAAATCTATTCATGAAATAATCAAATGAAAATTCAACTTTCATGGAAACATAAATCATATTTTCTTGAGTTGGCTAAGTCAATAATAATATAGTATAAGATTTTATTCATTAATCAAATAATTAAAAGCATAAGGTTGAAATTAAAGGCATTATAATCATCAAAATCTCTCTGTTATCCATCCAAGATTTTCACGAGTGCTTTTTACTTTTAATAGTTTCACATTTATGACAAATTTTCCAAAGTTTACATTATGAGAATCTAGTGAATTTTCCAGCTAATAATTTTATTTATTTTTTTTTCCAAATAGATTTTTTTTTTTGGTTTGAATTTTGTCATTTGAAGATATTGGCACACCACGTCAAAGCATTTTACGCAAGAGATGATATCAACCAGTGGATAAAAAATGTCAAAATTGGTTGGAATTATATTTTCAAACAAAATAAATATTTAATTCATGAGTTCGAGGGACGATCTATATATAATGGGCGAGATGCTACAATCCCGTTACGGAATCATTCCGATGGGGTTTGTAACAGTTAGATCATTAAAAATCCCGACGGAATGGTTCCGTAACGGAGCCATAACATTTCTCTGTATAATGATATTAATTGTTAACAACACTAGCTAATGTTAGAGTTAGTCACATTATGTCCAGAAAATATTGCCCAATACTTATATATGGCTAAATTATAATTACAAACTTTATCAAGGCCTAAATCACATTTAATATTCATTTATATTTATAAATTTGTGAAGGATTGCATGGTATTTAACTATTTCTCAAACCATGAAATTTACTAACAAAATAAAATACAAATTAGTAGATAAGCCGATTGACCACCGGTACACCATACTTTATTAACAAATTTCACACTTATAATACAAATTTGTCATACTTTTATTTATGTTTTTTTGTTTTTTGTTTTTTTTTTTATACGACACATGATATTTGATTAGAAAAAATAATAACTAATTATTGTTATGCGGGTAGTCCTACATATATATAGTAAAATATATTAAAACAACTATGCTCAAATATATTATAAACTCCATCTAATATCAGTAACCATGTAAAAGTAGGGGATGATACGGTCCGTTACGGAGCCATTCGATCGGAATTTGTAACCGTTAGATCATCATGTAACTGTCGGGAATAGATGATCTAAATATTGCAAACCCCAACTGAATAGTTCCATAACGAGACCGTTGCATTTCCTGTAGAAATATATCACAATTTAAATATATTTTAGGTATAATGAAAAAAAAAGGCCTTTGTTTTCCCATTCAACAATCGAGTACATTTTCAAAGGCTTTGCACATTTAGATATTTGAAAATTGCATGTTTTTGTTACAAATTACAATAAAAGAATAGACTATTGGTAACGGAAAGTCAAAAAAACTCGCAATAATGGTGACATAATTATAATGTACCACCTAATAGTCAGTCCCCACATTATACACGCAATGAAATAAAATTCATTATTATTATTATTATCTAATTTGTTCCTTTTATATTAAATTAAATTATAATTTTTTTTGTTTTTCTTGATATAAAAAAATTCAAAAGCCGCGTTTTATTACCAACAATAAAAGCTAGCTAACGCCTAGTCAATAAATATAAAATAATTCATTTGGTAATAGAACTAAAATAGTAATAAAAATAAATATTCAGCTAGAGCCGTTAAACAAAACGAAATGAGTTTTTTACAAGTTTAACTTAGCTCGTTAAAGTTGAAGCTCGATTTGACTCAATAATAATCAAGTCGGGCTAGAAGGTCTCGATTTTCTTGATAAATATGCCGTGTTAGAGCTTGTTTAAGGCCCGTTTTAGATAATGAAGTTTGTTACGACTCGACAAAGGAAAATTTTATGTTATTTTCTTTAACTTTAACATAATTCAACCCATTAAAATTATTTTGACTCGTTAGTAATTGACTCAACAAAAGCTCGTAAATAGAATATCACGATTCACGAGGTCGAATAGATCTAAAAACTTGTAACAACAAAACTACGAAAAGTATATTTTTCGTAGTTTAACAAGCACTTAGATCTATTGTTCCGGAAAAAAAAAAA